AGGAGGGAGTGAGTGAGAAGGGAGGTTGGGGATGTGTAAGGGAGGGGGTGGGGGTGGAGTGAGGGTAGACAGTTAGAGTTATAGAGGCTGGTTGGGTGGAGTCCTAGTTGGTTTGGGTGGTTCATGTTTAGACGTTTTTGGTCTGCATAGATTAAATTCTTTTCTTTTTTCTCTAGTAAAATTTATCTTTTGCTGCTGTTTAACTTTTTGCCCTTTCAAACTCATCAAACGGGACTTTCTCCCTCCCTATCTCTCTCTCTCTCTCTCTCTCTCTCTCTCTCTCTCTGTGGGTGGTTGGCGGGTGCTCTGTGGGTGGTCTGCTCCTTCTTTCCTATCTAACACACATTTCCCTTATCTCTCCTTATTTTTTGTGTAGGTTATTCTCTTTGTAAAAAAAAAGCCTATTCTTTCTCTCTCTCTCCCTCTCTCTTCCCATTCTCTCTCTCTTCCTCCCCCTCCCTCTCTCGGTTACACCGCCCTCGTCGTTTCCCACTTCTCTAGTTTGCAAATTTGATTTGAACAATCGGAGAAGATTGAAAAGTCTATTCAAAATCTTGGTCAGACAGGTTGCCGCCATTTCTGCCAATACAGCGAAATCGGGAGACGCATGCGTGTGTATGCCTGGGCAAGAATCGAACGTCCCCCTCCTTTCGTCAGAAATCTATAAATAGAGTCCTTCTAAACCCGTAACGGACCTGGCTATTGCGCGTTGCGTCAGTGACACGCGACGACATCCACGTAATCCTGTATCTGGCACTTCATCCGCCCCCCCCCTCCCTCCCCGACCACCATCCATCGTCTAAGCCACCCTGTGCGCTTTTCACACACCTTTTTGACACCCACTTCCGAGTCTAAGAGTAAGAGTCTCCTAACCGGGAATGTTAGAGTTACAGTGCGGGTGTTATCAAGAGTCCCTGTATATTGCTGTCAATTTCTAAAGAGTCTATTATCCAAGGATTATGGCGTTTGAACGAGTGTATACAAAGTACTTTACGTTGTTGTGTCCACCCCCCCCC